TTAAGTGATTATCCAAAGTTCAAAAGAGGTAGAAGAAATAGTACCTCATCTCAGAGATAAGCAATTCAATCTCTTTATTACAAATATAGAAAATCAGGCCATATTCTCATACATTCTTAGTGAGAATATCAATTAGTAAAGTTTTTTAGAAGATAATTTAACAAAATCAGTTCACTGTAAATACTATACAGAGCTTCAATCCAGCAATTCTACTTCTAGAAATAGATCTTACACACACATGTGCATAAGTATGCTCACTCTAACACTGTAAGAAAAACCTAATGTTTTAAAAAGACTAAACTGATTACAGTATACATGGCTGTGATGTTTCACAGCCAATAAAAAAGGAGGAGGTGGCTTAATATGTACCCTATGGAAGTGCTCTACAGACACGGTCTCAGTGAAATAAGCAGGACAGGGAAGAACACAGGGAGCATGAGCTCATTTATGTACAAGAGAAAAATAAGGACTTGACATATTGCATGTACAAGGATAGGTACGTAATAGATGGGGGAATGAAGAATTATATACCACACCAGCCACAGTGGTCACCCCTGGAAAGGGACAGTCTTTGTGTCTTTTCCACTTTCACAATGCACTAAGAATTCATGTATTAACTGGCTGACAGATGCACAATAAAAACCAGGAGACAAAAGCCAAGAGATAGGCAGAACATTGTACATTCTTCCCAGGGTCATGCAGTGTGGTCGAGAACCAAATCAGGACTCAAGCCTCCCGCATCATTCCTACCTAGTCCTCCTACGACTTCTCTGAATATGTCACAATCACCACAGCCACTTTTTATCTTGAAGAAGGCACTATTTTAAGTACGTCATTACAAAGCTAAGAGGTACAGAAAACCTACGTTCATATTTTACAGGCAAAGACTGGACCTCTGGGAGAGGAGGTAACTGAGTTTATAACCTTTGGTCTAATTCTTCACTTACTCCAAAGAGAGACTGGTACCCTTGCATCCTGGTCTCTCACACATAGAAGCCACTCAGGAAATGAGTGTTGGCCAGAGCAAACTGACCTGAAACTCCTCCTCCGTGAGGCCCTCAGCTAGGGCATGTTGGCGCAGTTGGTCAGGGTCCTGGGCACGGAAGAGGCGGCTGAGTAAAGCATAGATGTAAGGGGCCTCAGGGGAGGTCTGCAGCAGCACAGCCAGTCCTCCATACCAGGCGGCCCGTGACAGGTGGTGAGCATAAAGACGTTCTGTGGGTGACAGCAGACGAAAGGCCTCACGGCAATCCAGGCTAGACACACCAATGTCATTGGGTAAGATGTACTGGGTATCCGCCATGGGCCCTGTGGGGAATCATCGTCATCATCATCACGACCATCACTTAGCATGCACCAGCTAGACAACTGGCTCTAACTCCCATGGCCCATTTCATCCTTCCAAAAGTCCCAGAGGAAAGGAGAACTGTGGCATCTATTCACCAGATATGTTGAGACCCAAAAAAGGCTAGGCAACTCACCAAAAAGATTACAAAGTATGGGTTGGAGACAGCTCAGCGGCATAAGCACCTGCCTGGCAAGTGCAAGGTCATGAATTTGATCCCCGGTATCAAAAAAACAAAATTACAAAGTACACTAGTGGGTCATATTTGGCCCTCTCAAATCCAGTAACCCAGTACTACAGATAGGGAAACTTAAGGCCATAGGGCAAGTAGTCATGGCTAATCACACAATGGAGAGGGCAGCAAGGTTCCAACCTTGACCTGGTACCAGATTTCCCAAAACCAAGCAATTTGCTTTACTTGTCTGTATCTCTCTTCTTCTCTCTGTAAAAATGATGATCATCTCCCCAACCTTCACAGGCGGGTATGCAAATTAAATAAGGTCAGCGGTAGACAGCATGCCCCCACCTGCAGAAAGGATCTTTCTTGTGCTCTTTTCTTCCCTTAGGGGTTCCAGTCATCTGTCGCATTCTCATCCTTCAAACTACCTTTTCTTCAGTCTCCATTCTCCTTGCCTTTTCCTCGTGTTCGGCCAGTGGAGCCACAGAAACCCAAAACCCATTCTACAGACAGGGAAACTGAGATTTGGCTGGATAACTTACCAAAGTTCTCAAAGTCCCGTTAGGACCTGGGGTTCTCTCAACCCACAGCATTCTTCACGCCTCCCTCCCTGACCGAAAAGGAATGTCCAGTCTCCCCCCCTCCCCCGCCCCGCCTCCCGAAGCTCCGCCCCAATAGCACAATTCCCCCGGGTTCCGAAAGAGATGTTAACTCCTTGCTGTCCTCATCGCTCCTGCATTTCGGGGCCGAGAGAGATGTGAAAAGGTTGCTGGAGAGTGCACAGAAAAGGAATGATCTTGCGCTCGGCTTAACCTCGCTCTAATTCCCTGAAAATGACACTCTGTGACCCTGAACCGCGGGCGCCTCGCCTCACCTGCAGCTCCAGCTCGGTTCGCAAACTCACTTCCTGCTTCCGCTATCCCATTCATTGGAGTTCCGCAAGCCCCGCCCCCGCCGGCCAATTGCCTGTCACCAGGACCCAGATGGGCGGTGACTCCAGCCAATAGATTTCCGAAATCGAGCTCCTCCCACCCGCCGGCTCCCAACCCCCAAGCGCTACGGGTGGTGCGGCTAGGTCCCAATGGCCTTGGCCTTTTGTCCTCGGGTTATGATTGCGCTGGGCCCAGCGCCTCGGCGCAGAGGCCGCGTCCTGGTCCAGGCAGATGAGACTGACGAGGTCCCTGAGCCCGGACGAGGCTGGCGTGGATGTCATGGACAGAGTACTCGTGACTTCCCCACACTACAGCCAGAACTCAGCTTTTGAGAGTTTCACTCTCGCGTCCCAGAACTCAGCTTTGCAGGTGGGAACCTGCACAACGGAAGCAACGTGGCTCTGGGGTCTGGGTGGCGATTCTGCACTCTAAGTGCTGGAATCGAGGCTATGGACAAGCAGGCTGCCGCGGAGCCGAGATGTTCCCACCCGCACTGGGACCGGGACGCAGAGGAACGCTCCGAGGGCTTCACTGAGCTGCCAGGGATTTGTCAGGGGGCGTGGCGGCAGCCGCTAAACATTTCCAAGCCTCAATTTCCCGGGCACGCAAGGGCGAGGGTAAAGAGGAGCTGGTGGCTTCTTGGTACTTGCCAGGTATTGGATACATGAGAAAGTCCCCTGGGTCCCCTGAAAGGCAGCCCGGGGTGGAGGTGATCCTAAATTCCGCGCCCACAACTTGGAAGCTGCTGGGTACGGTATGTGGAAGTACTGGCTGCTGGGCACTGGCAGAATGGGAATCATCTCGAGAGGCTGGTCAGATTCAAGGTAGAGCCAGGTCGCTTAGAGGAGCAGATCTCGTTTCTGTCACCTACTGCCTGTTTGACCTTATGGGAGTCACTGTCACTGTCTGTCTTGGCTTCACTGGTTACAGGAAAACGGAATCCATTCCGAAATATTGTAGGCCTCAGTGACTGCTGGCAGGGCATAATTGTCCCCAGGGGTATATGTGGTGGTAGTGGGTGTGTGTGGGAACTAAAACATCCACGCTGTCCTTGCCATACCTGTTTCTCATTCATAGAAGTGCCCATGGCCCTCCTCCACAAAACAGTGCTACTAGTAGTTGGCTCTGATGATGGCTGTCATTGTGAGAGTTCAAGAAATGGATCTGTGCCCTTAGGAATGTGACCTTTTCTGTGCCTCACATTTCACTGTCTTTAAAATTGGTATAAAGTCGAGGGATTTAGGTAAGTTGAAATTAATTCAGGGAGGTTAATGCTTCGATGTCCCTGGTGGCAAGGGACAGCTCAAGCAAGCAATAGATCCCTCAACCAGCTGCACCATCCCATTTTTATGACTGCCGCTAATAGGAGAAAATGAGCCCTTGCTGAGGTGTTTTGCCAGCAACTTGCCACAGAGGATCTCTTCCAAATAGCTGAGATTCACCGACATCCCTAAGGTCATGCAGCATGTCTTCAGGAGTCCCTGGATTGGGGCCTGCTTTTATTTGACCTTCTGACACTGTTCCCACTGTTTGCACTTCTAGTGTTTTGTGTGGAAACATGAGGGGGCTGAAATGCTCCCATACCTAGTCTACCATTGCCATCTGCCCTCCATCCCACTGTATCTGTAATAGCTAACCCCCCGGCCTCATCTCCCTCTTTTTACCACACATGGTGCCCTCTGTACCAGCCCAGGTCTGGTCCCTGGCCCCAATGCATGACCACAGCAGGTCCCTCCCCATAGAATGTGCATTTCTGAGGTTCTGGCACCTGTTCTGCACTGGAGACAATACCCAGGTAATATCTGTACTCATGCCCTTCTCTGCCCATCTCTAGAACACCTGTGTTACTTTGCCTTTCTGGGAATGTTAGGAACCAACCCCAACAACCCTTGGCTCACAAGAAGAAGCAATGTTCAGTGGGGTCCAGCTCAGACTTGGGCTCTACAGCAACCAAGGCCTACCAGACCCCAGACCAACCACTCCCACCCACCCCTTTCTGCCCCCTTGATATTTTCCCTGTAGTACCCTACTGTTCCCCTTACCAGGGCTACACACCCAACTCGGCCCTGCCTCTGGAGCCTGCCATGTCAGACATGGGTCAAGCTATCCCAGTGCCTTAGGGACCCTCAGATCTCAGAACACCCCAGCTTGGCTGATGGCCCATTGCTTTAGGGAGTACTGTGGGGTGCAGGGTGTGGTGCTCGGCCTCACTGCCAGCTCCAGCAGACCCCTCTTCAGACCAGGAGCTGGAGAGGCAGGGTCTTGCTCTTGCTGTGATCCTGTATGGGGCTTCACACTGAGCAGGTGGGTGTCTACCAGCCCATTCTCTAGCCTCTTGTTGGAACAGATCCTCAGTTCAGCTCCACCCATTAAAGAAAGCCCATGTGATGAAGGGTTCACTGTGCCACCTAATGGTTCAAATTCTGGCCCAGCCATTTTCTAGCTGTGTGACTTGACATGTACTTTCATATTCCTGAGAATGCACACTGCAACACCTCCCCTCAATATCACTGCGAGGATTAAACACCACAACCAGGCCCTGGTATGTAGTCAATGAATGCAGTTGTTATTACCGTCAGTAGGTAAGGGACACATGGTGAGCGTTCAGTGACGGTAGCCCTTGTGTCAGAGCCAACGCTCTGGAGTGTGAATTCCCCTTTCTTTTGTTGACTCTTGACTCTCCACAAATGAGGGTATAAGTCTTCTATCCAATTCTCAGGGCCCCACCCTCTTCTCCAGCTCTGTCTGCCCTCTTGTAGCCCTTGCTCGAACCCCACTAAATCTGTCACTTAGCCCCTATTCCTTATCCCAGCCTGCATACAATATGTAGAATGCCCAGCTACTCTGTGGGCCTGGAGAATTACAAGCTGCCATGGAGGCTGAGCTCCTATGCTACCTCCTCCCCAAAGCATTGTTCACTTACCCACAGTCAGCAAGGACTGTTCCCTAGCCTCTAGGATTCTCTGATCCTAACATATGAAAGTACCTATCATTTGATAACTTGATCCATCCTTCACTATTCTAGGAACTTCAACAGGCAGGAAGTTTCTATTCTAGGAACTTCAACACACCTGACTGTGTGTTCCCATAGTCTACGCAGTAGAGTCCAGCCCATGGCAGGCATAAGCAAATGACAGTCTTGGCCTGCTGCCCTCTTATCACCCACTCAGGGCTGGAGGCATTGCATACATGCGGGATTTGCATATCGGTGAGCTGAGCATCGAGGTTTATAGAGAAACCCAGGGCAGCAGCAGAAAGGACAAATATCTGGTACTGGGTTAGCAGGCTCAGGGTGCAATCAGCCTAAGCTGGGGGTCAGTGGCTGTAGCCCCTTCACTCCCCCAGGGGCACAGTGTAGGCGGCATGATGTGGGACACCCCAGGAAAGGCAGGGCTGGGATTCCCTTCAACAGCATGGAGCAGAGCTGAAGGCCCTTTCAGTATGATCGGGGTAGAGATCTTGGAGACCCCCTTAGGAGTCAGAGTTAGGGAGAGGGTCACAGCCCATCCAGTGTGTCCAACCTGTGTGGCTATGTGCCAGCAAGTAGAATCCCACATGCAGAGCTCTATCTGGGCTGCAGGAGGGGGGACCTCGGTGGGGCAGTCAGATGAGACAAGAAGGGTCCTGGAGAGCCTAGTCCAGTGGCCCCTGGAAAATGAGGCGGACACAGCCATGCTCGCCAGTGAGCCAGGCCCCACAAAAGGGACAGGCAGCATGGAAAGCATGGGTACCATGGGGCAGCGGTGTCTGGGCCCAGTAGCGGGCAGTCTTCTCAGAGCAGACGTGGCCACACGGAGCAAAGGCATGACTGGGTGGCCCAGGGTCCAGGCACAGGCCAGCCTCCTGGCCAAGCCATAGGGGCACGTAGGGCCCCACAAGGCGGCAGAGAGGACACTCGCGCTCCTGGGGGCCTCGCTCCCGCCGGCAGCCCCAACCATGGTAGCCGTGGACGTGGCCGCAACGGACGTAGACCCAGGGTTGCTGCTTGTCAGGTGCTGTGCGGCCTCGGGCTGGACTGGGGAAGGCCAAGGTACTGAGGCCCACAGGGCATTGGGGCCGTGCTGCGTTTGCCTCCTGCCGCTGGGCCTCCAGCTGCTTCAGCGTGGGTGCCCGCAGCAGCCCCGCCGGAGTACGCCACAGTAGCGTGGCCCCACACAGGTCGATGAGCGAGCCGTCTTGCAGCACGTTGGATTCATTTTCCACCTGCCAGAGGCAGCAGAAGGGCCTTAGGCCACAAGGCCCAAGCCCCGCCATAAGGCAGCCTCACCCCAGCAAGCTGCCCATCCATCCCACTGACACTGCCTGCAGAGAGCACCCCAAGAGGCCATGTGGGAGGGTAGACAGGTGCTCCCCAGCTACATGTTGTCACTCACTCTCAGTAGGACCTGGACTTGAGTGTCCTCATCTGTCAAATCAAGAGTTCTGGATCAAACTAGGGTTTTTCAGAATTTTCCTGAAGCTCTCCCATAATCACAGAGGCAAGACATACTTCTCATGTGGAATGCTGGATTCTTAGCCCTGAGCAGCTATCCTAGGGGTTGTGGTTAAGAGGAAGGACTCTGGCACCAGAATTCCTGTGCTTGAATTCTTACCTCACTGTTTAATAACTCATTGTCCCTGGGAGAGCAGCTTGACCTCTCTCAGTCTCCTCATCCTCAAGGTGGAGTCTACATCTTGGTATTTCAAGGGGGTCTCATTAAGACCATATGAATCAATCAGTTTAAATGCTTGAAATGGTCCCTAGCCCACAGTGGATGCTCAACAAACATAATCATAGGTTTTAAAAATAATACTTCCAAAATCTGTAGCATTAATGCTCTAGAAAGATAGGCTGCTTTCCTCTGAGGTTTTACACATCCTCAACTCATTACTCAGACTCAGGAAGAGCTTTTCATGGCCCATGCTCCCACCTCTCTATAGTACTTACCCAGATCCCAACCTGAGTTCTGTGATTAGAAGAGTGGCTGGCATTGGCAGGACTACTTCCAGGGTACCTTTTCCTGCTACAAGGGTATAATAAAGCTAAATCTGCCTGAACAAGGCATACTTGATACCAACCGCCAACCCTCTAGCCTAGTGGTTGCAAACCCATGGCACATATGCCACAGCTGGCTGTTTGTAACACTGAAAGCTCTAAAAGGTTCATCATCACTGCTCTAGGATATAAACTACTCACATATGGGCCAAGTGTCACCCTCCTAAAAGGGTATAATTTTTTTTAATTGCCAGCAGGCTCAAAGCTGCTTGGTCCTTGCATGGTGCATCTATGTGACTATTTCACATCTGTGGGCCTCTAGTAGTGTGTCAACTGTACATGGCTAGTTGCGTTTGTCTACAACTCCCTGAGCCTGGGACTTCTTCAGTGTTCACTAGGGCTCCCTTGGGCAGGGGAACTGCAGATCCTATCCAGGCTTGAATAGGCCTTGGGAGGGATGGGGGGCATAGATAGAGTGGGCCACCTACCAGCTTCCCCCGCTGCTGGGCTGAGCGGCTGTCCCGCAGTGTGTACACGTTCCCGCAGACTGAGATCTCCCGCCAGACACCCGGGGCTGAGTCCTCGGAGAAGCCGCCCGCGGGGTGCATCACCAGGACCCCATTGGTGGTCAGGCCATCCATCAGGCCATCGGGGGTCCGCCATTTGGCTGCCCGCTCCTGGGACCACACGAGGGATCAAATCACATCCCTGGGTAGCCCCCAGCAAGCTGTGTGCTACAGGTGCTTCCCCTTCTACCCTCAATTCAGAGGTGGCTCCAAGAGGGGGCTGCTAAGCCCTGCATAGCATGGCTAGGATAGCTGGGGGCTGGCCCATCACTCCAGGCTGCTGTACCTCCCAGCCTCCCCTTTGGCTCACTCTTTGATGAAGAGCTGGTCCCTGCCTGTGGGCTCACTCACTCCAAGGAAGATGTTGCTGGAGGCGTCAAAGCCAGCGGCATAAATGCGGGCAGTATAGGGTGGCCTGCGGTCACAGAGGATACGGCAGGCATAGCGAGAAATGGTACTCTGGGCTGAAGGGCCCTCGGCAGCACTTCCACCAGGGGACGTATCTGTTACCACGAAGTCGATCATGTTCTCCGTGGAGCGGCCAATCTGCAAGGGAGAGGGGGACAAGCACTGGGGTTACATGTGTACAGGCGAATCTCACCAGCTTCCACCCCAGAGATTCAGCAGCTGCTTTGCATGCAGGGCTACCCAACAATGAGGCTGCCAGGCCTCAAGGAGAGGCAGCACCATCACAGCTTCTGGTGCCTCCAGGGCTCCCAGGTGGGGTCTCTATGTCCAATCATGGTCTGAAAGTCTCATTTTGATTACCTCTATATAAAGCTTTCAGGGGAACTCCACTCAATAAAAACTAGCCATTTACTGACAGAACAGTGAAAAGGTAGCACACCTGTATAAAAAGGCTAAATACTAGCGGCAAATAGTGAATTTTTAAGTGAGACATTACTACATGGTAAGCATTTTAGCTGTAATACCTCAGTTAATCTTCCCATTGAGTGAGTGCTATCATGGCCTCATTTATTGATGAGGAAACCAAAGCCCAGACAGGTGGTATGTCCTACCTATGGCCTGCAAGTTGGACTTGCATTGTTGTCTGGGCCACAATGAGTGAAGAGAAATGCCCTTGGGCCACATATATAAAATATATAATATCATTTATATATATAAATAACAAAACTTCTTTATTTTAAAGTATTTTATTATAACACAGACACACCCAACCTGCATGCTACGTGTTGGACATGCCAGATTTCTTGCCCAGTTATCCAGCGGTAGGTAATGAAGCTGGCATCTGAATCCAGGCATGGGGACTTACATCAGCCCTCCAATCTCTGAAGCCATAAGGCCTCCTGCTGCTGGTCATCTTGAGTCTGAGTCTTGATACGGCCAGTGACTTGCTGTGTGATGTAGTCAATGGCCCATGCTGGGACATCCTGCTTCCTCATCTGAAGAGCAGTCCACTGCCCTGAGTGCTCTGAAGCACCCTTCCAATGGCCTTCAATCCTGTGGCCTCCCCCTGGGTGCTGGCTGCCAAGCCCAGAGGCCAGGAGGCTAGTGGAAGGGGATAAGCGTACCTGGAACATGTCTGTGTCGCTGTCATGTGTGTATTCCACTATGACCGAGTGGCTTCTGGACAGTGTGTATGAGATACTGTGCTGGCCCCGGTTACTCAGTGCCTAATGAAAGAAAGAAGTCATTTCCCACAGGATAAGTCATGAGAAGGATAAACTTCAGCCAGAAACAAGCCCAGGGCTCAGTGCCCATTCCTGGGGAAGGGCAGCTCCATGATCTGCAGAGGTAACTGGGTAATAGGTGCTCTACAAAATTAATCTTCCAGTTACCCCAAAAGTGGCTTACTGTTCTCATATTATAGCTGAGGGAACGATAGGCTAGAGAGAACTGGTGTGACACGACGCAGCCAGAAACAGTAAAAGTTGATTTCCACTGTAATCCTCTAAAGCCAAAACTTTCTCTTGGCCACTTGGTTATGACTGTCGCACACTGCTCTCGGAGGTTTAGCTGCCTCTAAAATGATGCTCATCATTTCCATGAATGAACAGGGTCTGGTGGTCAAGGAAACATTCTGCAAATTATAAAATATTGTACACCCTGCAAAGGACTTTCCATCACCGTCATTTCTCTGGTAGCAAAACAGGCAGTGAGCTGATGACACAGTAGACTCCCCTGCTCCAGCAGGACTGTGGGCAGGTAGGTCTAGGAAAGCTGAAGACTTGGCTCTGGGGCAGCACCCTGTCAACTGGGATAAGCAGCTTGCCTTGGACACGAGTGGTGTGGAGATGTGGTGCATAACATCTGGCTTCACTCCGTTGGCATGTGGCCGGCGGCTCAGTGCTAGGCGGCTTCGCCGGCGGCCCTTATCCCCATTTGCCAGACATCCATTGTAACTGTGAATATAGGGGTTAAGAAGAAAGCATTGCAGGAGGAGAGAGAGAAAAAGAGAAAATGAGTTCCTGATCAGATTTAGAGAAAACTGCCAGCTCTGGGCAGATTCTTGATAAGCAGTAGAAACACCCAAAGCTAAAAGACCCTACAATAGCAAATCCATGTATGAGACAAGTGTCTTTCTCTCTCCCCCACAACAAGTGTCTCATTCAATTAACCATAGGCTTTCTGAATGCCCAGACAGGTGCTGGGTACTGGGACAGTAGAGGTAATGCACTACAGATTGGTTCTATGCCCTTATTGAATGGGGGACCCAGCTTCTCAAGGAACACAGGTACTACCTGTCATGACCCAGACACAAGCAAGTGTCCCCCAGACCCAGAGGCAGAAGGAAATACTGGCCCTTGGATCAGATTTCTATAAAGGAAACACCTCTACTTGGCCTTGAAGAGCTGTAAAGGAGTCATCTGTAGCAAACTATCATTTATTATACCATTGCTAGAAAACAAAATGAAAGAGAAAAATAGACCCACAATGCCACTGCTTCCATTATCTCCATACATTTCCACCTTCCTTTCGAGCTCTTGTCCAGAGGGAATGATCATGAGAGACAAATATGAGGTGAGTCATAGCCTTGATTTCTGCCATGTACCACTGCCCCTGTGTTCCTGGTCCTTCACGTTATTCATTATCTAATGGAATCTGTGCAATGTCCTGCTAGGCAAGTGTCTTTCACCCCATTTTACAACTGAGACAAATCGAGGCTCAGGAAGATAAAATGACTTGCCTCCTGGTTGCAAAGTGAAAGAGATTTGAGCTCAGGTCTCCCTGACTCCAGACTTCAAGAAGCTGGCAGAGACGGAAGGCTCATCCTGAGCCAAGGTTCCATGGCTGGCAGAATGTGGTGAGATCAGGCAATGCTGAGGTGAGTGGAAAAGTGCAGTATGGGAAGATGAAATTGGCAGAAAGGAGCTAAACAGGCTAAGAACATTATTCTGTAATCAGTAGGGTGGTACAGAAGGTTTTAAAGCAGAAAGTGACAGTATAAATAAATGCAAATACAGACAAGGTTCACTTAAATCAGTCTCCCTGATGAGTTTGTTAAAATCCCAATTCTCTGGGCCCACCTGGGAAGATTCTGACTCTAGGTTTGGGGTGTCTGCTAATGTGTGTCTTCAGTGCACTCTCCCAATGGTTCTGATACACAACTTGAGTGGGGTACCTCTGCTCTGCACAGCTTAGGTCTGCAGTGCTCTTCTCCACCCTTTACCCCCCCCCCATCAATGGCTCTGCCCTTAGCTGGAAAGCTGGCCCCTCCTTTGGGACACTAAGCACTCCTTTGACAGCGCAATCACCCCAAACAAGCATTGCTTTTGCCTTTTGAACTCTTCTCATGTATTGAAAGAAGGTCTCCTGGGCTCAAGACTCAGATGTAAATCTCAGAATTAAATCTTGACTCATTCATTCCATGCCCTTCAGGGCTCATTTTTCAAGATATACCTCACAGATTCATTTTGAGGAGATAAAACATTTGAAAAACTTAAATGGACTGGAGATGTGGCTCAGTGATAGTGTGCTTGCTTACCATGCACAACGCCCTGGATTCTATCCCTAGCCCCACAAAGATAAATAAATAATAAAAATGCTTGGTACAGAGCTTGCCATAGTTACAGAAAACCCTTGATAAATGTTAAGATATCATTTTTTTAAAGTACATGGCACATCGCAGTCAACACACAGTAGTAATTATTATTCTTTAATAATCATAATCATGACACTATAGCCTATCAAGTCATTTGTTCAATACTGAAGATGAAGAGAAAGGCCAAAAGGAGACACAGATGGGGTGATGAAGAAGGATGTGGGCCTGGGGGGAAAGCTGCCAGAGACGCAGGGATAACATCAGGCAACAACCAGGAAGGGATGAAGTCTGCCTAGCTTCTAATTCCTGGGTTCAGTTTTCCCATCTATAGCACGAGGGTGAGTTGTGGCTTAGTGACAGTACACTAGACCTGGAGTAAGAAGGACCTGCATCCAAATCCCAGCCCTGCCACTTACCAGCTGTGTGCCCTTGGACCAGTCACTTCCCCTCTCTGAGCCTCGGTTTCCTCACCTCCTTCCTCACAGCATCTTTGTGAAGATTGAAATGAAATAATATCCATGAAAGGGCTTGGCACAGGCCTGCCTGCCAGAACACTTGTTATGCGCTGGGTGCTGTCTTATGTGTTTTACAGCAATTACCTCATTTCTTCCTTCTAACAACCCTCTGAGGTAGGGATTATTATCATCCCTGTTTAGAAAAGGGGGAATCCAAGACCTAGGGTAGTTTGGTAACTTGCAGAGGCAGGATTGTAACCAAGCAGTTTGGCTGCAGAACTAGAGTTCTTCGCCTCACACTACACAGACACACACACACAGGTGCTTTACAAAAGGCAGCTGGTGTTACCTTTTCCTCATCATCTGATCAAGAAACTTATATGAAGAGGGAAAATAAAATAATCATTATGAATTGGAGTGGGGTTGGTCAATTGTGTCTTTCAGCTGGGAAGATGAGGGATAAACAGCAGAAGGCCCTACATGGGGAAGCTAGGTCCCTTCTTCCAGCTGCCCTGTGGGTGCCTGGTGCCTGGCCCTCCTGGACAGGGAGGCTCACCCCAGGACGATGAGTTCGCCGTACTTGATAGGCTCCTCACCAGGCTGTGCACCTTCACTGGGAGAAGAAAGGAGGCAAGAGCCTTTGTTCCCGGTGTGCTGGAGGTCTGAGGTTCGGGGGGACCCCACTTCAGGGTTTCCCTCCAGCACCATTCTGGGAAGAGCAAGAGAGAAAGGAACTTTGCAAACCTCCCCACCCCATCACAATCCTAGTACCCAGGCTAAATTGGAAGAAGTTTTTCACCAGCTCTGATGTTACGGTGGCCATTCACTTCTGTCACCCCTAAACTGTCTCCCAAACTGTGATACCAGTGAAAGGAAGTGTGTGGGTCGCAACACCAAGGGAGGAATGGCAGAGTCAGAGGATCAGGACGTTTGGTGGGGCCAGAAGAATGGACTGAGTTGGGGGTGGCCAGAGGCTCCTTTCTCTTCAAGACCCCAATCTGGGATGTGCTAGCAACAGGAGTAATCCAGGAGTTGGGGGCCCTTAGCCCTAAGCTTAGACTCCATTCTTGGTTTAAGCTCTTAATCTGAGTTACACTCAGTCAGGTTCTCGGGCTCAGTCTCTTGTAATCTTTCTGCCCCTTGGCAGCTGTAGGCCTCTATCTGTTTGTCAATGACTCCCTGTCCTCCCAGCACTGTCCTTTTCGCTGTCTCCTTTCATCCTCCTCCCTTCCTGCGCCTCTTTGCCTAATACCATTTCGACATCCATCTGCCTCAGTCTACCCATCAAGGCCTCACCCTGCGGGCTTACATGGGTGACCACCCCTTCCCTCCCACCCGCAGGTGGTGTCTGTCTGCGGTCCCTAGGCTGCCCGAGTCCCCGGAGTCCCCGGAGGCCTGTAGGGAGCAGCGCTCCCCCTCGGGTTCGGGCTGCAGCAGAGCTGGTTTCCCGCAGGCAGCCTATTTGGAAAACATCCTGAGGCCGAAGGGACTGCGCCGGACAGGCCTGCTCCCAACGCCCCGGACGGGCAGGAGAACGGCCCAAGGCATACGCAGATAAACAGATGCGCACGCACCCACACAGCCCCGCACGCCCCGAGCCCGCGGGCAGTGCCTGGCCGGGCGCAGAGCCCACCCCGGACCGCGGCCGCAGGGAAGCGCAGAAGCGAACGACCGCAGACGCCAGCCTCAGACCCACTCCCCGCGCCACCCTCAGACACACAAACACGCCCCCCGCGCCCGCCCGGCGCAGCCCCCGCCCCCTGCAAGCCGGCGGCCTCACCTGGCCGCGCTCCGTGCCGGGTTCTGTGCTGCTCCTTCCCAGCCTCGCCCCTGGTCGGCCCCGGGGCCGTTGCGGCGGGATGGGCCCGGCCCGCGGCGGCTCCACGCTGCCTGGTCACGGGGACACTGGGGCCTGTGGGGAGGGGAATGAGCGCGAACCGCCACGCTCCGCCCCCCGTCCCGATGCCCCGCCCCCATCGAAGTTGCGCCTCACCTCGGCTCTGCCCCTTGAGGTTTAGCCTTGTTGATGTGGCAAGGCGTCTCCCTGCAGGCCACGCCCCTCCCGGGCTCCGCCCCCGGGCTTGGGAAGCCAGGCGGCCACCACTCTGTCCCCCCGACTCTGTTCTCCTGGCTGGTTCAGAGACTCCCTTGTGATCTCCGAGACCCCTCACGGACTCTTCCGTCTCCGCTGTCATTTCTGGGGCTTCCAAAGACCCTGACGCCCTCTTCTTACAGTAAGCCAAGGCTCTCACCCTGGACCGGAGTCCCCCTTTCCCGAAAGTTAGGCCGGGTTACTCCCCATCTCCTGCCCTTAAACCCAGCCTCTGCAATGGGAAAGTTGCGGAATTAGAGGCGAAAAGAAATGCTGTAAGGGGCAAAGGAGGGTGTGCGTGTCAGCGATGGCCGCCTAGGAATTTGGTTGCAGTTGACCTGAGTCACCGACCTTCTTCTAGCCCGGGTGCACTACTTTCTCCCTGGGTGGTCTCCAGAGAAACCTACCGTGTCCCCTCTCCTGCTACCACGCACACACTGCCCATGGTGACACAAAAGGTAAAGAGACCTTTAGAGGTGTAGAGCCCCTCTGAATTTGCGGCTTGCAAGGAATCTTGTCTGACCTTCTGTAATTAAACCCCCTAATCCCTGGGAGCAAGCATGGTAATCATCCATTTTTACAGAGGAAGAAACAGTTACAAAAATGACTTTGCTTATGGTTATTTTAGTAGATAGGCAATCTGAGTTACCCAGGCTGGGCTTGAATTTGTGATCCTCCTGCTTCTGTCTCCCAGAGTGCTTGAATTACAGGCTTGCCCCATCACTTCCAACTCCATTCACTCATCTTCGAGGTGTGTGTTCTATGAGGAAATCAAGGAAGGCTGCACAGAGGAGGTGGTTTGTGATTTTCATCATCAGGGATTAGTGGGAGTTTGCATGCATATTCTGGAGCGGGGGGGGGGCACTATCAATCTCTGCTTCTCCCAACTCCTTGTGTGACAATTTCCCAACTTCCAGGGCAGACGCATTCACTTCAGCTAACTCTACCTGCTAAAAATAGAGAATGATACTAACTGCTAGGCCCACTATTATGGAGCCCCAGCTGCATGATAACACAAGAAAGCAACCATTTGTGCATTTGTTAGGGACAAAAACACTTAATGGTCAACGAAAAATTCCCTGACAAAGCCACCACGCAGCAGGCCAGATAGCTGGGCTGCTGACAGCAAGTCATACAAATCCTGCACTGAGCACCTACTGTGTGCATTGGACAATCTTGTTCTCTTTTGCAACCCCAGCTTCCAGCACATCCTCCCATTGCAGGCCCTCAGCAAATGCATACTGAATAACTACTATAATTTACTGATGAGGCCCAGCGAGGGAGGAAAACTTGCTCAGGTCACACAGCCAAGTAAGTTGGAGTTGATGATGGGATTCCCTATCCCTATCCCCTGTCAGCAGATGGCAGTAAGGACCGCCTGAGACAGTCTTCCAAGACATGAGAAGGGCATAAAGTATCTTCAGGGATAGGATACGGGGACTGCAGCTGCATGGTAGAGGCTCAGGTATCTCTGAGTCCAGCATTGTCCAGGTAGAGGAGAAGAAGACAGGATTGGGACATAACCAAAAGCCACAGATGCCCAAGTTCCAGCCTTGGCTTCTGGTTCTAAATCAAGCTCCCTCCCCACCAAGAACTCCATCTTCTTAATCTCTCTAAATCTCTTCATTCAATCTCACCCTTCTCTGTCTTCAATCCAGATCTACCCCTGTTGATTCAAAGAAAAGGACAAAGAAACGAATAAGACACAAACTGTAGTTCAGTTTCTTAAATTCTTGAAGTTCACGTGCCTGAAGCTGAAAAAAATATGTTTGTCTAGTTGAGAAAGGATGTTGAAAAACACAAAGAAATCAACAGCCACAAACCCTGGGCTGGGCAATCTTGAAGGGTCAGGGAGGGGGCAGGTGCTGGGTTATATACTTGAGCCTTTGCGGGAGGTGGAAGGGTGGGCTTTGGAAAAGATGGAAATGGAACCCTCAGATAGACTTGGAGATCCAGAGTGTAGGAGACCTCGCCTCACTTTTCAGGCTCTAGCTTCAGCCAAAAACCCCAGGAGCACACAGTAACAATATGTAGACTTTATGCTACAGCCACCAGTTAGCCCATGGAGTCCTGGATATATGAATGGCATGGAAAAGCTGTTGAATTTCTGTGTCTAAAAATATAGCCCAGTGCATGCCCGTAATCTCCACAGTCTAGGGAGGCTGAAGTAGGAGGATTGCAAATTCAAGCCCAGCCTGGACAAATTAGCAATACCCTGTCTCGATGTTTTTAAAACAAATAAAAATAGAAATTAAAAAATGGAGTGGGTATGTAGTTTAGTGTGAAGGTCCTGTGTTTGATCTCCAGTACTGCATGAAAAGAGAAAAAAAACTGATGGGTCCTAAGGGGGTCTCCCAACTGGCAGAAAGGAGGCTCAAAGAACCCAGATAGACTAACAATCCGAGGCTAGCAATAGGCAGGTATCTCAGTAGCAGCTAGTGAGGAGGACAGCCAGATTTTGTAGCACACAACAATGCACCTGCCTTTCCTTCCAGTGCCATAATGTGAGGGAAGTGTCCTGGGATCAGAGAGGCCATTTCAAAGAGAAGCAAGGGAAGAGGGTGGGAGACTCAGGAATATTGAGTTTAAACCTGAAATGACAGAGAAAAGCTGAAAATTATTAGTGCTCAGGGTTGTTTCTGCATCCTTTATTCTGTCCTGTTAAGCCTCATATCTGTTTTTGTTCCTGTACCATGATGTATGTATCACTGTAGCTTTGTAATATAACTTCAAGTCCAACATTGTGATGCGTTCTGCTTTGCTCTTGTTACCCAAGATTGCTTTGGGCATTTTGGATCTCTCCTGTTTCCATATCAGTTTTAGTATCATTTTCTATAATTCTGTGAAGAATGTTATTGATATTTTGATTGACATTATTGTATCTGTGTATCAGTTTTGGAAGTATGGTTATTTTGCCTATATTGGTTCTGTCTATTCAGGAAACAGTGGACATCTTTCATATATATATATATCTTTGTATGCAGCTCAGACTGGCTTGTAGCCCAGGCTAGTCTCAAACTTTACAATGATCTGATCCTCCTGCCTCTGCTTCAGCCTACTAAGTTCTAGGATTACAGGCATGTGCCGCCATGCCTAGCCTCTTTCCACTTTCTGATGTTCTCTTTGATATCCTTTTTTCCTCCCAGAGTACCTCACTTTCATTGTAGACTTCCTTAGGTTAATTCCTAAGTATTTAATTTTTCTTAAATTAAACTAATTAATTAATTAACTTTTTGGTACTAGGAATGGAACTCAGGACATTGTGCTTGCCAGGTAAGCACTTATGCTGCTGAGCTAAATTCCAAGCTTAATTTTTCTTGTTGTTATGGTGAATGTACTTTTAAAAAATTTCTTTCACAGGGGGTTCATTTTGGGTGTACAGGAACGCTATTGATTTTAGTGTCATTTTGTATCCTTCTATTTGCTGAATTTAGTTGTTAATTCTGAGAGTCTTTTGGTGGAGTTTTCTAGGGGAGGGTCTTTCATGTGAAGATCACATTATCTACAAATAATGAAATTTGACATCTTCCTTTCTTGTACATATCACTTTTAATTATTCTTTTTGCCTAATTCTTTTGCTAATATTTTAGTACTATGTTGAACAGGTCTGATGATAGTGGAAATCCTTGTCTTGTTCCTGATGTTACATGAAAAGTTTTCAGTTTTTCCCCATTTAATATGATATTGGCAGGTTTGTCATAAATGATTTTATGGTCTTTCTATACCTGTTTTTTTCAGGAGTTTTATCATGAAAGGATATTAGATTCTGTTGAAAAGCTTTCTCTGCAGCTATGGAGATGATCATGTGATTTTTGGCGGGGGGTGGGGTACCAAAAATCAAACTCAGTATCTCATGCTTGTCGGGCAGGTGCTGCACCACTGAGCTAAATCTCTGATCCTGATCATGTGATTTTTGCCCTTACTTCTGTATATGTGACATATTACATTTACATATTTTGTATATGTTGAACCATCCTTGCACCTCTGGAATGAAGCCTATTTGGTCATGATGTTTGATCTTTTTGATGTTTTGTTGGATTCTGTCCACCAGTGTCTTATTGAGGATTTTTGGATCTATATTCATTAAAAAGATTGGTCTATAACTTTTTTTTTTTTGGTACTGGGAATTTAACTCATGACCTCACACTTCCCAGGCAGATGGTTATGCCATTGAGCTAAATTCCCAGTCCTATAATTGACATTTTTGGATCCTTGCTTGGTTCCAGCAATAACTTTCAGGTTCATTAACAAACTTGAGGAACACCAGTGTTAGATCTCCCTTGAGACTTTTGTAGAATTCAGCAGTGAATCCATCCAAACCCAAGGGGTTTTTTTGGATAGATTTTTAATTGCTGTTGGAATTTTGTTGCCTGTTATTGGATTATTCCGGGTGTTTAAATCTCCTTGATTCAGTTTTGGTAATTTGTATATATTTAGGAATATATCCATTTCTTCAGACCCATAGACAATCTCAGTCTTGGTATATCAGAGAAAACAACCAGTTACAACAATCATGTCACTTTGACTAAAGTGGTACAATCAGCATCAAAATAGCCTAGAAAATGACAAACTGAAGTAACTATTAATTTGCCACTTTTAATGATATGAACTAGCTTTGTGGTTATAAAACAATTTCTAAAATGAACCAGAAAATTGTATGCAGTAAATAAGCCCTCAATAATTCTGAAGGAAAAAAAAATAGAACTAGAGGTTTCATCTGACTTAGCTATTCTTGATATCTTCCTAAATGAATTAAAAGCATTATATTACAGCAATACATACACACTCATGTTTATAGTAACACACTGTAATAGGCGTATCTTGGCAATAGCCCAAATGCCCATCAACTGGTGAATGTATAAAGAAGATATGATTTTTTTTAATACAATGGAGTATACTACTCTGTCATAAAGAAGGATAAAGTCA